CTGGCAGAGCCCATTCTTGGCTCAGGACTAAAAGTAAATTTGGGCCAAATGTGTTAAACCAGGTGGGCTGTATGTTTTGTGTATGTTATTTAAAAAAATTGTTTTTAATTACTAAAGCAATATGTGCTTACTATACCAAAACCAAACAATAGAGCAGGGAGTGTGTGTTTTCTAAGGGAGTTCCCGGGGCTTGGCAGGTTGTTCAGCCTTATGAAAGCATTCTCCCTTTCTGCTGTGTGTGTCTGTGCCAGCTAGGTGCTGAGTTGGAGAGGCAGCTAAGGCAGCCTGGGCTGCAGATGGCCATTGGGTGGGGGGAGGGGTGTCCTGCCGAATGAGCAGGCACTTTACAAAGCCCTGCCTCCTGCTTGGGATGACCTCATGAGGGGTATTTTCAATCAGCAGCAATTCTGTCTTATTCTCAGCAGGCACCCACTATCTGCAGTGCTGGAGGGAGGGCAGGAGACAGATTGTTCTAAGGGGGATTTGGGGACCACAGTCACCCAACAGCAATACCCATGAGAGCCTCCTCGTGGTCTGAATCACATTTCGAGGCACAGGGAAAATTTGGAGATCCTCTGGGGAGAGTATACCCTCCAGCCTTTTGTAATGTACAACCTTCATTGTTAGCATCCATGACCCACTGCCCGTCTGCCACCTCACTAGAATGGAAAGATCCCTTTGCCTGGACATCCTCAGTGCCCTCCATGGGAAGTGTCACAGACTTTTGAGGGGCAAAGGTAGTGATGTAAAGGGGAGCATTACTTTTTTTTTTTTTTTTAATAATAAATTTTATTTTTATATTCCCCATACAATTGCAGCCCCCCCATTCTGGCCCCAATCTCTCCCCTCCCACCCCCGCCCCCTTAAAAGTGTCTCTGGTTCGTAGTTTTTTGTTGATTTTGATTTTCACTTTCTTATAGTTATTCGTTTTCCTGGTCCCTTATTTAAGTTTTCTAGATTCCTGCTATGAGTGAGACCATCCGGTATTTTTCTTTTTCTTTTTGGCTTATTTCGCTGAGCATGATCCCTTAAGGGGAGCATTACTTTTGAAGCTGATGGTGTGTGTGGGTCTATGGCAGAAGTGAACAGCTGGCTAGCCATTTGAACTTCTCCTGACCTTGTCTCCTGATTCAGCCCTCAAACTATTAGGATCTGCCAGCAGGTTGTGCTCTTCTGGGTCTTTGATCATCAACCTTGTCCACATGATTAGCAGGGCCCTAGGCACCGGTGCCTGCTGAGGCCTCCACTCTATAGATATGGTACATTCTCATCCTCTGTTTCAAAACAAGAAAAATTGGTGAATATCTACTGTATGCAAAACTCATTGCTATGCTCTGAGTAAATCAAGGATATGGCTAATTTAATAGATTACTGTGCTTCTTACATTGGTGTGGGACTGTGAATGAGATACTCAATACTCATGTGCCTCTTCATTCATTCCATTAGTGTTTGTTGAAGGCCTGTTGAGAGCAGGGCTGGTGACCTGGCCCTTGGTATGAGTAGGCACTTTGTAAAACCTTAGCCAGCTGAATCCCTGAAATTCCCGTTTCAATGGCCAGGAAATTGTAACTGTGTCATGTCCAAAAGCAGCAGCCTTTGCCTTTCTCGGGGGGTCTTTTTAATTCAAAGAGAGTAATGTCTGAGCCCCTTGGTGCCTGCGTTAAATCTGCCTCTCCTTTGGGTAAGTGGTGGCCTAGGAAGGCAGGAGTCTGCCAGGCTCTCATCTTACCATAGGAAAGTGGGGATTTATTTATTCCACAATGACTTCATGAGTGGCTTCTATTCACAAGCCTTGTGCTAGTACCTGGAATTCCAAACCCGCTGAGAAGCTGTGAAGACTGAATAAGATGAGGTGCCTTGGAGAGTTTACTTGTTGGGGATGAGGCCCTGGAGGTACACGCGGACTCCTCGCACACACATCCCTCTTAGAGCCCTCCTTAAGGAGAGCTGTTGTCCTTCATCCTGCCTCACATGTCTGCTCTTCCTGCTCCTGGCCAACCAGGCTCACCTTGAGTTGGAACCAGTGGCTTCCTGGCTTCTCCCCACACAGCCTGCTTTGGGGCCAGAGTTTGTTTGAGGTCCTGTTTGGATATTGTTAAAAGTGGCAGCTATGCTCAGAAAGGTCACTGTGAGAAACCAGAACAAAGAGATCTTTCAAACTGGCGCCTCATGGGGTTTCGGAAAAACCCCAGCTCCACCTAGCACAGGCAACGTTAAACCTAAGGCAGGATTGCTTGGGCGGATGGCCAATTGGGGAGCCCTTAAGGAGTCCTGTCTGCATTCCCATATCCCAGAAGGGTAAACTGAGGCAGAGGTATGTTCCCAACATCTCAGAAAGGATCGGGGCCAGCTAGGAGCTGGAATCTCCCTGTACAGCCCTGGCCACTGGAACCTTTGGTGGTTTTTCTCTTCACATGTATCCAGTAAAAATTGAAATTTACCAAAGAGGCCTGAGGGTGATTATTTGCTTTGCTGAAGAAGTCCTCGAAGCTTATTTAAATACCAAAATATCCCTCTGGATTTGAAAATAGTAAAAATATACAACTTTGAGGATATAGGGTCTTGTTAAAGTGCAGTGCTGATTCCTTCATTGTGTGCGTGTGTTGGGGAAGGCAGGGTCCATCGGAGTCTGAATTTCTCCAAAGCCCGCAGTGCAGTGTTGCTGACCCAGATCTCTCTCACAGCCTCGATGATAGGATGACCAAAGGCAGAGGGAGGACATTCTTTGCAGCAGACTGGACAATGGGGCCACGGTCCCTCTTGGCTCTGGCCTTCTCGTATCGCCTGGCCCAGGCTGCCAGGGTGGAGGCTGGCAGGTAGCCTACAGAGTGGAAAATCACCCACAGGTCCTGGGAGCCACCAGCCTCCTGTGAACCGGAGGCCCCAGATCCAGCCCCATCCCAGCCTGTGGTCATTTGGCCAGGCCACCAGGGCAGAGCTCTCCTGCAGACTGAGTTCCCGGTGTCAGCCATCCCGTCTTCTCTGGTGGCTCATGCCGTCTGTCGTTTCTCTCTCTGCTGGTGATGATGCCTGGTGCCAGTTCTTCCCTCGGCTGGTCTGGCCCGTGGCCTGCTGTCCAGCTGGGGGTTCTTTCCTAAGCCCAAGGCTTCTGTGGAATGAAAGGTTCCCCCGTGGCTGGCTCTTCTTGCTTGGGCCCATGTAGGCTGCCAGCTTATTTCTGGGTATGGCTGGTGTAACAGGGAGCCCTGTTCTCTCAGGGCCAGGGGCTGGTGGAGAAAGATAGATACAGCTGAAGGAGCCCCTCGGGCACTCTGTCCTCTCCCACTACTCATAGCTCCTAAACACCCAAGCAAAAAAATGTGACAAATCAAAACATTAGAGTAAGGTCGCTATGACCCAAAGTAGAAGGGGAAAGGAAAATAACTAATATTTAGTGACCCTCTACCACATACTTGGGTGTGCCCAGGACTTTGTAGGCTCGTCTTCCTGACAGCTAGGAGCAAATGAGGAATCCTCCTGCAGTCAGGGAGACTGAGACTCAGCGATGCTGCCTCACTTTCCCAAGATTACAGATTTTGGATCTGATTGCACAGCTAGAATTTCCTTGTCAAGCTTCTGGAACCTGACTTCTTAGCACAGGAGAACTAACAGTCACTGGGGACCATCTACACTGCTAGTTCTCAAACTGTGTGACTGTCAGGACCCTCAAGAGACTTAATAAAATCCAGTTTGCTGGGGCCCCCATCTCAGAGTTTCTGATGCAGCAAGTCTGGAGTGCAACCCTTCAAATTTGCACTTCTAGTAAGTTCCCAGGGTGCGGATGTTACGATCCAAGGACCACACCTGTGGTCTAAACCATAGTTTCTCAAAGTGAGACAGGTACCTCTAGTGATACACAAGATGGCTTTAAGTTTTTTAAAATACTCCTATAGTAGCTATTGATAAAGAAAAAAAAATAGCTCACCAAACCCATGCTTTTAGGTATTTTTGATTAAGGTGAGGTCTTTGCTAGAGTAAAAAGAAAGAAGATATAAAGAAAAGTATGACATAAATAACAACACTGGTGGTGCATAGCTAAGGGCAAAAATGGTAAATGTGAATGCAGATGACACAGTCTGGGAGACATGGATCCAAACTGAATCCTGATTTTATAGAGGAGCAGACCATGGGGGCCCCAACAAATTTAGAAATGAAAGATCACAGAGGGTGAAAAGTTAAAGGTGGCAGCCACTTGAGCTCCTCCTGGAACTTTCAGACAAGAAACAGATCCCTGGGGACTCCGAGGCTGGTGCTGCAGGACCCCATGCTTAGGCCCTGGACTGTCTTCTGTGTGCTGGGGCAGCTGGGGGTGCTGCCAAAGGGGCCAGCCTGGGGAGGTGCAGGATGACTCCTCCATGTCCACCAGACTAGTGGGAGCAATTTTCAAACTGGGTTGTAGGGTCTATTTAGTGGGCTGCAGCCGGCATTTTAAGAGGGCAGAAGGGAAAGATTTCAATAGAAACTATCAGAGCGGGTTGCACAGAATAGAAATAGGGGTGGGTCAGTAAACTCGCTTCAGTTTTATGGCAGGAAAGTATATGTAGATACTGCTTTGCAATGCCAAATGTATTTCTTACTATGAGTTACACTTTTTAAAGCTGGAAAACTATTTCAAGGACCCCATCCTTTGGTGGGGTCATCTAGGGACAGAGGTGAGGGTGATGACGTTGACCAGATGGGATAGGTGACAATGGAGACTTGAGGCTGATCAAGTCAGAAAGTCTGACACCAGCCCAAGACTCTTGGACCAAGACAACGTCTTGCTTGAAATACTCAATCCAATGGTCCCCTTTGGGTGGTAAACTGGAAGCTTGAATTTCCAGGAGGCCGTGGATGATTTCCTGAGCCTCAAGAGTCAGCCCAACTTTTATCTTTCATTCCAATTCCTGTATGTTTCCAATAAAACCCAGACAGGCTCCTGCGGTATCTGCAGGTTTGATGAGATTCTCTTTGTGGGAATGAGGCTGGTAATGACCCTGCTTCTGTTGTCTCCCCTCTAGGAACGTGGTAAAAGGCATGAGGGAGCTCCGGGAGGTCCTGCGGACTGTGGAGACCAAAGCAACCCAGAACTTCAAAGTGGTAATGTGGAGGAGGCCCCACGGCTGGTTGACTTTAATCAGGGTCAGTTTAGACAGGAGAAAACAGAAGGCCTAGTGGGCAGCCCCCGAATGTACCTGATGAAAAGGGCAGAGGCCGTTAAAGGCAGTGAGAGAAGTCTGTGCTCGGACTTGACAGTCGAAACAGTGGTTGGTCGTTGGGAAAGCACTTGAGTGGTAGGAGAGAGGCTAGCGGCAGGCCTGCCTCCGTCTCCCCATCCCTGCTCTCGGCCGCCATGGGGATGAGTCTCAGCAGTCCTTCCCAACTACTCCTGGGAAGCACCATCAGCATCCTTCACGCCCCAGCATGACAGATCAGACTTGAAACCCACTGCCAACCATTCCTACCCCAATGGGGTGCTTGTTTGAGATTTTTTTTATAACTTTTATCAATAACCTTGACTAGCTTTCCTGCCCCAACGCAGGCCTGCCTTAGGCTATGATTCACCTGCAATGAGAACGATAGCTGCTTCTCACTCTAGAATTTCCAAAGATCAGAGAGACATCTGGTAGAGAGAGCTGCCTGTGCCTGCAGCTTTGGGCTCCTTGAGGGTCTCTGAGTACTCAGAGCTGTGCCGGGCTCCTCGGGGCTGGAGGAGGAGGAAACACACCTCTTGTCCAGGAGAGGAGAGAGGATAAAAGATTAAGTAGGAGCTCTCAGGAGGAGTGGGGTGGCCTCAGTGCTGGAGACAGAGAAGTGAGGGGCTCCCTAGAGGGGCAGCACATTGCAAGGTGGGCAGAGCTGACCTGGTAGTGGGTGGTGGTGATGGGCCCGGAGAGCATTCTAGGCTCTGTCAGGAGAGTGGAATGTGCCTGGCTCGAGCTCCCCGCCTCTCTGCCCCCTCTCTGCCAGATGGCTGCCAAGCACCTGGCAGGGGTTCTGCTGCACTCTCTGAGTGAGGAGTGCTACTGGAGCCCCCTGTCCCAGCCCCTGCCAGAGTTCATGAGCAAGGAGGAGAATTCCTTCATCATGCAGTCGCTGAGGAAACCTCACCTCTACGAAGGAGACAAGTAAGCTTTGCCTGCCCTGCTGGACTATATCCCCACTGGGAGCCCCTCTGCCCCACCCTTCATCAGCCCCCCAGCTCGCTGTCAGGCAGGCTCTTCAGGAGCGAAGTGGACGAGAGAAGGCAGGTCTTCGGTGGGGATTGGAGAAGATGCCTATAAATCACCCAGAGGCCAACACATTATTTGGGGGTTACTTGCCTTCTTACTAGTCTTTGTTAATATACCTTCTCTCTTGGTGGTGGCAATAACTGGGCTCTGTGATCAGCCCAGCAGAACTTCCTTGCTCCTCCCTGGCCCTGGTGACATGTTGTACTGGGGGCTGGAGGGACCGTCTCTTCCCCAGGAGTGTCTGCGGTGTTCCAGCCCCACTGCCCACTGCAGCCTTTCAGATCCGTAACTCAGGGGCATGCAGAGAACCACAGGTGGTATCCAGTGCCTGTGAATTATGCAGGAGGGCATCACCTTTCCAGGGCCAGTGCTGACTCCAGGGCACAAGGGCCAGTGTGGTGGGCCAGCTGCTTCTGCCTGAGCCACGCTGCCATTTGTGTCTTTCAGCCTCTACTGCCCAAAGGATAACATCGAGGAAGCCCTCCTGCTGCTCCTCATCAGTGAGTCCATGGTAAGCTCCAGGGCCTTCCTCTCCCCAGTGGGGTAGGGCTGCGGACTCAGCCACAGGGCTGGTGGAACTCGCCACCCAGCAACACGCCCGTGCAGAATTCTTAATCTGCTCCCCCCATGGGGCTGTGAGGCTGGCTCATTAGGTTTGGGTCTGGGTGTGCAGGCTGCATCTGGGGGCCCAGGTCCTGCCTCCGAATGGGTTGGGACTGAGCTAAGTCCTTACCCACCTCTTCTGGGATTATTTCAGATTATGAAATAATGTGAGCATTATGTTGACCCGTGTGAAAAATAACAGTTTCATATGATTTATTCTAATATGTTCCCATTTTATAGATGAGAAAAGCAAGGCCCAGGACAGGTATGTGTCTGGGTCAAGGTCACATTTTAATAATCCTTGCAGCCTTGATTCAAGTCACATCCATCTCCAATAGCTTCCATAGCACAGGTGTGGCACCTGAGCTTCTGGATTGTGGTCCCGATTCTGCTCTTAACTGCAGCTCTCATTCTTGGTTTCCTCATGTGTACAAGGGTCAAGGGGGGAAATTTGGACGATCAGGTGAAGCAAGGGTTAGGGAGGGCTTTGTAAACAGGAACATGACTGTCCATGTGAGAATGTCATCATTTTTCTCCTTAGTGGCGAGCAAGCCTGGGTTAAGTCTCCTCAAATGTTTTCCTGTGGCCTCTGCTTAATCTGGGTCCCCCAGGCTCAGAGGTATTTCCATGAAGGTTGTCTCGGTTCAGTACAGGGAGAGCACCTGTCGCCCAGACTATCAGGCAGGAGGGTGGGAGCTGGCATGGGCCTGGCTCGGGTCACCGGGTAGATGCAACATATCACAGAGCATGTTATTTCTTGGCCATATGGACTGGCAGCTGGAGGGCAGTGGTGATTATGACTGCAGGTGGCGACCACAGCACAAGCGGAGCATGATAGTGTCCTCTGGGGAGGGGCAGACAACAGGCCCAGATGCTGCCAGAAGACTCCCTTCTGGGGTGATTGTTTTGGGTGCCAGCAATAGGCCCAGAGGCTGGGTTTTTGGGTTTTTGGAGAGCCCTGTTCTCTGAGAACAGAACTGAGAGGACCCTGGACCAGCTGCCCATGAAACTTGTGCTGTGCAGAGAAGCAGCCCGCCTCGGGTTTTGCTTTGGTTCTTCCAGGGCCTCTGATGATGTGAACGAGTTATTGGACATTTCCTTGGAGGCCCCCAGAGGCAGGGAAAGAGCCAGGGGGTGAGGTCAGAATGCCAAGGTTCTGATTCTGACTTCCTATCTGCATGCCTTGGGGAACCTGCTTGACTGCCCTGGGCTTTGACATCAGCAAGCTCGGGCAGTGGTGTGTGAGAAGGTCGTGAGAACTGTGAGATGCCACTTACAAAGGGCTCCACAGTTACTTCCTTTTCCTTCCCCTAGACTGATTGTGTCCAGAATTAGAGAGGAGACAGGGGACACAGGGCTAGGCAGAAGTACAGGCCATGTTCCCAGAGTCAGCAGCGGGTCAGGATTGGGGCTGGCAGAGGAGGCCTCTCGGGCAGCAAGAACCCAGGGTAGCAGCAGAAACTATCCTGGAGTGGCCCTTGGATACTCAGCCTCAACTCCTGGGGACCTTGCACAAGTTGTCATTAGTTCACCTTCTGAGTTTCTCTCTGCGAAGGCAGTATGGTGCTTTCCTCCATGAGGCCAGATGAAAATTAGATGTGAAGAATTAGCTCCTAGAAGTCTGATGCATGGCACACATAAGGGGTAGCTGTTGAACTAGCGTCATCCCATCTTAGGGTCTGGCCAGCCTGGGGAAGTAGAGAACCTCCCATGGGCCTTCTTGTAAGGGCCCATATTTGCATCATGGACGCTTATCCAAAGACTGAGAGTGTCATGCTAACAGTGATGAGCCACCGAATGATGGGAATGTGGGGGAGCATGTGACTTTGCCCTCCCATTATCTGACCTGCTTGAAGGTCTGGGGTAAATGTCCTTTAGTCTGAGGGACACTGCTGCTGGGAGGACAGCCACAAGGCCCAAGGCCGGGAGCAGGGACAGCTGCTAAGCCCTGATCAGGATGAAATGTATGGATTAAGCAAGAGCCATGCAGCAGGACCTGGGGGTTGTGGCAGGGAGACTATCCTGCCATTATCTCAAGACTAGGTAGGAATATGGTGATGAGTTGAACATTTAGTATGCACACGTTGCTTTAAGGATCAGGAGCTCTCAGATCTCACTTTCATTAGGATTTTCCTAATGAGGCTGTCTGAGATGGAAGGCAAAGAGTGAGGTGGGCTCTGCTGGAGCTGGGGGGCAGTATGGCTGAGGGGAGTGAGCTCAGGGGAGGAGGGAGCTGGTGTGGCCTGGCCAGAGACCTGAAGCCCCATAGTGTCCGAGGCCTTGTCTTCTGAGGCTGCTCTGGCCCCTGAGCTGCAGATAAATTCCTACCCTGTCACCAGCCTCGTATGACTTCCTTCCTTCTGTCCTGTTTCCCCACCCCGCCCCGTTGTCATGGTTACTCACACAGGCTGCCCAGCAAGTGCTGAGTGTTGCACCCGCAGCCCTGCCCCAAAGCCATAGCAATGTGGCAGACTTCTGCTTTTGACTTTCCTCTGGAGAACCACACTTCCCTTTTGGCACAGATGCCAAGTCCTAGGGGCCCTGACCCCCAGATACCTCCCCTGCTATCTGCCTGCTGGCAGGTCCCATCCCTGGGCTGTGGAGATGCTGCCACCATCCTCTCTTTGTCCCCGTTCTGACCTGATTTGTGCCCAGTGCTGAGAATTCATGCCTCCTCCCACCAGGCACATTCAGAGACACTTCTCTTAAAGGTCAAGGTCTAGGCTGACTGGGGAAACTTACCACATGAAATCTTTCAAGTGTTACTTGTATCGCTGTCTAAGGCACAAGTGCTCTAAGGACTGTGCTGTCTGTGAGCCTGTGCTGGAGGCCTGGAGAGAAGCATGAGGCATCAGGAGATAGAGGCGTGTACCCTGTGTTGAGAGGATGAAGGGGCCTGGCCTAGCCTAGAAAGAGGTCAGGGATGGCTGAAGGGATGATGCCTGAGTTGAACTGGGAGGAGCCATGGGCCTCAGGGCCATGGTGAGGATAGAGGACTGCAGGGGACTCTGAGGAGGCAGAGGGTGGGGAGGTCCCCAAGCTGGCCAGCTGGGCAGTCAGGCACAGGAAGGAGTTTAGACTCCCCCCAGGGGTGTCTGGAAATAGAGGTTGGGGTCTGGCAGGGGCTGCTTTTCAAGGACAGGTCAACCAGAGCTGAGCCTGTGGGGACTACTTGCAGCTCATGTCTCCAGGTCCTGGATGTGTCAGGCTTCTCCCCACCCCCCACAGCAAAGCTACCAACAGATTGACTGCCCTGCCCCCTTCAGCCCTCTCTCTCCTACCAGAAGGTTCCACTGGGTACAGCTTGTGAACAGCTGCTGCTCCAGGTTCCTCAGTATCCCCTGAGGGCAGGGACTGTCTCCTGTCCTCCCTCTCATTCTGCCACCTCCCACCCTGCCTCCCTCCTTTGCTGCCTGGGCCCCACCCTGGGTGACCAGAACTGGGGAGCGGCAGGAGGTGGAGACTGGAGGTGGAGGGGTGGGAGCTGCATTCCAGGGACAGAGCAAGTTGTGTGTTCCCACTCTGCTCGGTGAAATAACTCCTGCCAAGCCGCTCCTTAGACTTTCTTCTCTCTTCCTGTTGGTGCCTGTGTGGGTGGATTTCACTGGGAAGGAGGGGGTTTCTCTGCACTTTCCCTCTCCACTTCTCTCCCTTAACCCTTTGGAGTCGTGCTCAGCCTTTCTAGGGATCTCCTGGCACCCCCGGCACCCTCTCTTGAGTCACCCATGTTGCAGAGGGCTGTGGGCAGCACCCTCCTATTGTGGCTGGCTGGACATCCATTAGGACCCATGACCATTGGCCTGCCTCACTGCCTAAAATTCCCCCATGGATGAGTCACTTCCTTGGATTTCAAGGCATTTGGCTTCCAGAAGCCTCTGGGAACACATTTTGGGCCTGCACAGCAACACACATTAGAGCCTACAACTCAGAAGACATTGGGCTTCTCAGAAGACACGCCCCCTCGGGAGCCACAGCCCCTGACCTGAAGAGGCGACCTTCATCGGCCAGAGGGAGGCTGCCAGGACCATGTTGGATGGGTGGGAAGGGCTGTCTAGCTCTGATCTGTGGGATTGGGTTTTAGGGACCAGCAGCTCCCTTGGACTTTGTCTGGAAGAATGAGGCCTTTTTTCAGAGGTCCTGTGTCAGGAAATAGAGGAAGACGAGTCCCCACAAGTGAAAAGGGGTTCCGACTCCTCAGCAGAGGGAGAAGGTACTGGGAAGAGACCCCTCTGGCAGAGACAGAAGCGGGAGTTACGTGGCTGGAAGGAATTGAGGATAGGGTCTGGGCTGGACATGCGGGTAGTGGGACGGAGGTATAGGGAGTCCTTCTCAGAGGGACTAGGGGACCTGCAGAGGAAGAGAAGTGGGCTCTGAGGGGCTGTGGCTCCACTCCTGTGAGGGAAGCAGCCGAGCCACAGCCTAATCTCGGCAGTTTCACACGTTGTCTGAAGCTATTTCTGAGATTGGCCGTCACACTCCGGGAGCTGCTCCACGGAACGACTGGCCTGTATCCTCAAAAAGCTGGTGTCGTGAAAGACAGAGAAGCGCTGCAGGGTCTTCCAGATGTGAGGGCTCTAGGGAGACAGGGGCACAGGCCTGAAGGGAGGAAATGGCTGTCAGTGGGACAGGTGGTGAAGCACCAATGTGAACAGATGATTTACCACTGGCATTACATTCCCTGAATCTGGCATTCCTGTTGTGGTTATAAAAAGAATGTTCTCTTGTATTCAGAGGTGAAGGGTCACATTGCCTGTAAATGATTCCAATATGGTCTGACAACATAATAATGATAACTATTATTATTCTGTATTATAGAGAGACAAAGCAAATGTGGCAGATGTGTACCGTTTACTGTTATGGAACCATCTTGCAACTTTCCTGGGAGGTTGAAAGGTTGCAGAATAAAGCAGAATACCTAGAGTTTAAGCCCTCAGAACTGCCCCTTCACCCGAACCCAAGGCTCCTCTCTTTGGGTTGGCTTTCATGAGGGTGGGAAGGCAGTGGCTGTCTCTGGGATGTGACCACGTGTGTCCTGGGTTAGCGGCCCAAAGGTGATGGTCGCTGGGTCTGCGAGGTCAGGGCCTTGTGGGGACAGAAATCTGCTCATTTTCTGTCCTCTCTCTTTCCCAAACCATGTCCCCCACAGGCTAATCGTGACGTGGTGCTGAGCCGGGTGCCGGAACAGGAGGAGGACCGGGCGGTGAGCCTGCAGAATGCCGCCACCATCTACGATCTCCTGAGCATCACTCTGGGCAGGCGCGGGCAGTTTGTCATGCTCTCGGAGGTATGACTGCCTGGGGCGCACAGAGGAGAGTAGATGGCACTTCAGTGGTCTTCCTCCACTGTCTCTCCACCCCCGCCCCAATTTGGGGGTGTATGGGATCAGACAGCCAGTGGAGGCGCGGATTTTCTCTGTGATCATGGAGGACAGCAGAATGAAGAAGAGCCTTCACCTGTGGGTGGCCTTCGGTCCAGAAGCAGTCAGCCTGAGCTGCCACTTACTGGCCCGGGACTCCTCATCTGTGGAGTGGGGATAAAGAACCCACCTCATGAGGTTGTTGGGAGGAGTAAATGAGTTAACAGATGCACAGCTGCAAACAGTGCCATGCACAGTAAAAACTAATATCAGCTGTTGTTTTTATTGTTCATCTCCATTTTGAAAGCACATTCTCCAACCTCATTTCATTTGCTTTTCATCACCTCCCTGTGAGATAATTCACATGAGATGGAAAATGGGAACTGAGGGCCAGAGAGGGTAAGAGACTTGCAGAGGGTCACACAGCATGCCAGTCGAGGAATAGGGTACTCCTGGAATTTTCTGATGGGAACTGAGTATAAGACTCCTGGAGGAAGTGCTTGGTCAACATTACTTGGGCAGTGACTACCCTGCAAGGAAATGGGTTGGTCTAGGGTGGAAGGACTCCTGGTGAGGAAGTGCTGACCATCTCCTCCTCCCCAGTGCCTGGAGCGAGCCATGAAGTTTGCATTTGGAGAATTTCACCTTTGGTACCAAGTGGCCCTCTCCATGGTGGCTTGTGGGAAGGTAAGGCCCAGGGTGTGCAAAGGGTGGGGTGGGGGTTATACCCTTCCCCTCAGGGGGACTCTGCTCTCCCCTAGGCCCTCCCTGAGGGGAGTGATGGAGAAATGTTATCCAGCAACTGGTTTTGATCTCCAGGAGGGGGAGGGACACAGGAGGGCCACACACAGAGCCTGGTATGAATCTGAGGTCATGTGTTTGTTACAAGTGTGTCAGGTGTGCAAGCATGATTCTGTGACTACTTCTCACTGGAGGGTGTGTGTACACGTGGGGCACCCAGCACGTGAGCAATGGGCATGACTACAGGAAACAGGCGTGGACGTAGGCTCCTCCGAGATCCGGAACTTGTCTAGTTTGTCTAGGAGGGAGAGGCTGGGGGAGTGGAGCAGCAGCACCCACCAGGTTTGGAGGGAGGGCTACATAGTGGATGTGGTGGGGGGCCCTTTGGCAAGGACAAGGCCAGAGGAGCAGTGCCAGAGCCAGGGACCAACCTGATCCTGGGTCACCAGGGCTGCATTTACTCTCCACCCACTGAGCCCTATTCCCCTGGTTTTTCCTCAGATGAGACTCACACTTACATAAGCATCTATTTTAAGCAGTGACATGAAAGGAAAACCTTTCCGGAGCTGGGTGCTGAGGGTGTTGGGGCTGAGGATGCTACGAATGCAGGAAATAAGGTGGCATGAGCTCACAGATCCTTCCAAGAGCTGTAAATACCCAGAGCCCTTTCGTGGGGCTGAGGGAATTCCTCGCCCCCGCCCCCCACAGCCCATCTGTGCCGCTTCCATTTCTAACCCTGCAGCGCTCTCCAAGGAGGGCCCTCCCAGGCTTACCAGTGCCTCCTCTGTGATTGGATGTTGTGCTGCCAGATCCTGGCGGGGAGAGGGAAGAAGAGCAGGTGCTGCAGCCTGGCATGTGGACAGGGGCCAGACAGTGTCACTGAGAATCAAGTGGACAGCCTTTGCTGCCCCCCCTTTATCTTCCCAAACCTCTTCCCACTCCCCCATCACATTGGCTACCTCCCAGAGCCTCCTGAAGTCACAGCACAATGGACTGGCTCTGGGTTTAGTACAGGGAGAGTTCAGAACCCAGAGGGAGGCTGGAGCTAGAAAATGAGAGAACCGCCCAAGGAAAGCAGGATTTGGGTAAATGGGGGAAAGTGGAGGAGGCAGCATTCCAGACAGGATGCAGGGGAACAAAGGTGGAGGAGTGGGTGGTTGGGTGGGAACAGGAAGGTCTTGAAAGCCCCAGCCTGCCTGTGGAGGTAGGGACTAGAGGGCAGGGATGCAGTAGGCCTTATGGGAGCCTGAGCCAGAGCTCAGGGCACATGAGGCAGCCGCTGCGACCCATCAGGAAACAGAAAGTGCCTCTATCCTATAATAGCAAACTTGCATCAGAGATAGGCCCAAGGCCAGGACAGTGCTTCTCACCCTTCTGTGGGTCATGGACTCCTTGGAGAAGCTGAAGATAGCTGGGATCCCCCTTCAGAAGCATGTACCATACATGGAAGTTAGCTTTAATGTCTAGGGGTGCTCCTGGAAGCACCCCAGGCCCAGGAGAAGGTGTCACGGTAGCTTGGGAGGTATGACCTTTAACCTCCTTACTGAGAAGCCGTCAGGCTCAGAAAGGTCTGCATACAGCCAGGCATATCCCGGCAGCCAGGGAACTGGAGTCCCCCTTCACTGACCAGCAAGGAGGCACCAGAATGGGCTTCTAGACAGGGGGCTTGGGATGATTGGTGAGTCTGCAGGTGTGAGCCCCACAGGCTGGAGACACTAGGTCATACCCACCCCCTAATTGCTGCACGGGGATTATTCTGGAAGCACACTCCACCCCCTGGGGAGCCCCTGCATACCAAATCAGCCTGCCTAGTTGCCCAGGTGGCCCTGAAAGAGTTGCCTGATCTCCGTTTTGCCAAGAGCCTAAAGTGGGAATCAAGTTTTATACCTGAGATTGTGCCTGAAAGTTCTTCTAGAAGGTGAGGCCCAGCGGATATCATTATATCTGGCACCCCAACCTGCAGGAAGATAGGCTGAACTCCTCGGCATGATTTAGGTCGTCCCCTCCCTTGGTCTCTGCAGCAATTGCATTGGTTGTGTTGCTAGGAAACCAGTATGACAAAAAAAAAAAAAAAGGCCTGCTGCTCCCTCCACTGGAGTCCTCAGATGGCTCCTTAAATAGCAGCATTTTGTGGTCTGGGTGGGGGTGGCAGGCAGAGGGTCAGGGTTGCAGAAGCCTGTATTTTGAGGATGCAAAGGTGAGTGGCCCAAGGAAGGAGGACAGGGAGAAAGCCTGAGGCTTGCTAAGGTGTAGGTGGAGGGGATGTGGTGAGGGGCTGGGAGTGGCCTTCCCAGGAGAGGGTCTCTGGAGAGGTGCATGTTCTGGCAGCTTCCTTGAGCCCCTCTTGCTCCTGGCACCCCATGTGGGCCAGCCACCATGGGCCATCTGCTCACATCCTCCTGTACTTGGTCTCGTACTCTCTTATTTATTTCCTAGGAAAATTCTGGGGGTTGGTGGTATATATCTTCTCTCTCCTACCTTTCTGTGAGCGGTATGAGTCATGGCCTGCAGTATGGGGCACAGAACAGGGCCTCAGTGGAGACACCTGGAATTGGCCTGATAAGCCTGAGCCCAGAGTCTAGGGAAGCTCTGGCCTTCACATATGGACTGAGAAAAGCTCTTCCTTAGCCAACAGGAAAAGAAGGGGTGGCTAGAGAGAGGAGAGAGCCAGGAAGTCTGGTGTGGACACAGAGGGGTCAGGTCTGTACCTGCCAGTTCCTCACTGCACTATGGAAAAGTTCATTTGGACTTGCTGGAGAGGGTGAGAGCCAGTTGAGGGCAGGGGCCTCAGCCCACAGTAGGCCCAGTACATGGGGGTCACCTTAACTGCAGTCACATGCCCTGCCTCCCTGGCTGTGACATGTGGGGGGCCGCTGCTGAATTTCCTCGAAAAACACTGGGCTTAACCAGAAGGTTCCAACCGTGCGTGCATGTGTGCGTGCGTGTGTGCATGCGTGTGTGTGTGTGTGTGTGTGTGAGAGAGAGAGAGAGAGAGAGAGAGAGAGAGAGAGAGAGAGAGAGAGAGGTTTCCTCTTTGGCCAAAGTACTCACACAGAAGCAGAATAGGATAATGGTTTTGAGTTTAGAGCCTGACTGTTCAAACCCCAGCTCAGCCACTTATGGGCAGGGAAGCTCTGAACAAGCTACTTAACTTCTCTGCGTTTCAGTTTCTTTGTGTGTCAAGTAGGGACACAGCACCTACTTTATAGGAGAGATGTGGAAATCAAGTAAATAGATTTATAAAGCACTTTGAATAGGGGTCAGCAGACTTTTTCTGTAAAAGGTCAGATGGCAGGCATTTTGCCTTTGCAGGCCTCCGTGGTAACTGTCAAGTCCTTGGCTTGACATCATGAAAGCAGTCATAAACAATAACTAAACTCCAATAAGACTTTATTTTCAAAAGCCCAATTCTTAGATGCATAAGTAAATAAATAAATAAATCTTTAAAAAAAAAAAAAAACAAAAAAGCAGGCGAGGGCCAGGTTTGGCCTGTGGCTGTGTTTTGCTGACTTCTGACTTATAACGATGTCTGCATGTAGTAATAGCTAAAGTGTTAGCTGCTGGTTTTCTATTACTGGAATTGGTGATATACCTGCTGGTTCTGGGTACTCTCCCTTGCTGGCCCTCCACCTACACTTGGTCATCCCCAGGAGGGCCCATCTGGCCCCATCTCTGTGACTCAGTCTCTGGAGCCTTGGAGGTTCCTCTGGGGCTGCCAGCTTAGCTTCTGTCCCGCCAACCTTTATACATCTCCACCCACCCTGCCTTGAGGTTGGCCTTGAGCTTGGCCTTGCTTGTCACCTATAAACTGAAGGTGTTGAGCTCAAAAGTTTGAGAGGTCACTTTTTAATCCCTAAAATCCCAGGGGTTCACCTTTTCCTTTTGAAGAGCTTCCATCCTTTGCCACCTTAGCCACTGTCACATCCCCTAGAGGCAGGGGCTACAGCCTTCCTCATCCACATGAGACGAGGTCAGGGAGAGATTTGCCTGCCAAATCCCGTTGGGTCTCTTCCCATCTATTGGGCGGAGAGCATGCAGAGCAAGGGCTGGCTGTGGGGACCCCTCCCCCACCTTAGACATGAGGCGTCCTAGTCTTTCGCAGTCCAGGCCTACGAATGACAGTGTGACCTGCTCTTTCCACTGCAGTCATCCTATGCTGTGTCACTGCTGCGAGAGTGTGTGAAGCTGCGGCCTTCAGACCCCACCGTGCCCCTTATGGCCGCCAAGGTCTGCATCGGGTCCCTGCACTGGGTGAGTGAGCTTTGGGGCAGGAGGGGCAGGAGGGGCAGGAGGGGCAAGGTCCGGGTCCTTGATGGCATCCTGAGGGTGGATAGTGGCAGATGGGCAAGAGAGGGGAGGTGCATATCTTACTTTGTGGATAAGGGATGGGGGAAGCTTCGAGGCAGACAGGCTTGGGTCGGGGAGAAGGAGGCTAGGCTTCATCTCTGATGCCAGGCTCCCCAGCTCAGGACAATGTCTCTGTGTGAATGTGCCTGAAATTTGGTTCCAGGGGCCACTGGGGACTGTGAAGTAGAGGTGCCCCCCACCTGCCCATAGTGGGAGAAGTGGTAGGACCTGGGAGTCACCTGGGCCAATCCATCATTCTAGAGGGTTCAGAACACCTAACATCTAGACAGATGGCCCTTGAGTTTCAGTTCTGAGTGGTCAGAACCAACCAGCCCTCTGCAGAGTGGAAGGTGCCTCTCCTGTCAATCAGGTCCCTGCCTGCGCTCACTTGTTCTTACCTGTTTTGCGGAGGCTGCTCACCTACTAGATGTGCCCTCCTCAGCGGCTGTCGCTTGAGTGACTTGAAGCCCCTAAGGAGGTTCAGCAGCGTGGAGGCGCCCAAAGCCCTGCCTCGCTTGACATCCCCTCCCACAGGCTCCCTTGACTTTTTCCATGGATATTTTCTCCCCACCCTCCCCAGAGCACGCTTCCTGGCAGTCCCAGCTTCCTGAGGCCCACTCGGCTTCCTACGTCAGGGCTGGTCCTTTTTTCCTCCCTCATGAGCGACAGCGGCAGCGCAGCACCTCTCCCATGTGTCCATGTGGCTCAGCCCTCCAACATGTCTCTTCAGGTTAATTAGCTCCAATTCCTTCATCTGCCCACCATGCCCAGTGGCTCCCAAAGAAGGAGCTTTTCCTGTACATACCCCACCTTCCTGTAGTCCCAACACCCCATCCCCCCCTCTTGCCATCATGTACCTGGCATGCTGAAGGCAGCATGCTGTCGGTGCTTGCGTCCAGCGCTTCAGTCTGTAGCCTCGCCAACTCCTGCCTTTTCCTCTGCCTCCCTGGTCCTCAGAAGTCTTGCCATGACCCCACCCACCTGCAGTGATGCATGTTGGTCTGTCTCAGGCTCTCAGCATTTGGAAGACACAATGTGATGGGGGTAAGGGTTTCACCACCCTCCCCCTTGAATAAGGTACATAACCTCACTCTGCTCAGTTTCCACATTTGTAGCATGGAAAGAATAAGTCTCTTCCTCGTATGTGGCATAAAGGATGGAAAGGCTGGACAGGTCAAGGAGCTTCATGGAGGAGAAGGCCTTGAATGGGATGTGGAGGTGGGGATGACCAGCAGTAGGCCCTTCCATCGCAGCTTGCTCCTCAGCCCGTGATTAGTGGGGAAACCCCTTGCTCTCCGGCTTTTCAAGGAAACTGTTGGCATCTTACACCCTAGAGGTAGGGCACTCTCTGAGTGTAGACGGTCTTTAGGTGCCAGCAGAAGGGGAGACACGCAAATTGAGCACTGCAACAGAAGGTTCTGGTGTGAGCAGAGGGTGCGATGGGTACTGGTGAATGGAGGACACAGAGGGTGCTAGTGTGAGTAGAGGATGCAGAAGTGTGAACTGGAGGATGCAGAGAGATTGAACTTGCTAACCACCCCTAACTCACACCCCTGCATGTTTCCAGGCTTCTGAACGGAGCCTCAAAACCATCTCTGGATGAAGCCCAAAATACCCACCTCCCCGAGGGTGGGGTGGGGAGGGCATCTGTGCTCCCACAGGCTGCCAGCTCTGAGGTGGCGGTGGGTCCACCCAGCCAACGGCCGCCCTTGCCAGGAAGCCCTAAATTTAGGTCTTCCCGCCGTGGAGGAGCTGTTTCCCTCAGCAGCATAATTACAGTAATTATGTGCATTCAGATTACATGGTAATAAAATTAGGATCAAATCAGTCCAAATTGAAATCAGATGAGTTAGGAGCAAAGTAATCAATGACAACATAAATAGAAAAGCCCAGAAGGAAACTTAAACAGGCAGATTTGTCATCAGAATTCAGGAGGAGGATGAGCAGTTTAACCTCAGCTGAGCAGCATATTTGGGTTTGAGGACTGGTTGAGCCAGGGTTTAAATAGGGTAGGAGCTCAAGTGAGGTCCTGCTGGGATTGAGGGGCCCCTGGTGACCTGACCTGGAACCTCACCCTCTGCATCTTCACCTGCCGTGGACACTGAGCATGTCATGTTCGCGTTCTTAGTGCATGTGTATTTTTTGAGGGCAGGAACCATCTCTCTTCCTTCTTGATTCCCCAGCCCAGAGTTAATGCCTGCTTCGTACTGGATAGATCTTCTTGCCCGTGAACGCTATCACTTGGCAACAAATTCTGCCTTATATGGTACTTGCCTTCCCAGCTAGATGGGGATCATCTGTACTTACCATGTCTTGCACCCTGACCCCTCCCCCACAAAGAACCCTGCCCGCACTTCAGTCCACTTATACTGGGTGGGAGGGCGGCACCCCCTAGCAAGCTATGGAGGACGGGTGTGGAAGGATTGTGCCTGCTTCAGCGGTTCTCCCTGGCTCCCTAGGTTGGCGCTGGGCAGAGGGTAAGCTGTGCAGAGCCAAGGGCAGCCTCTTTTCCAAGGAGAGGATGGCCCAGCACTCTCTGTTCTCAGGGAGAATGGGTCTGACTGTTGCAGGCATGGGGTGCTGCGACAGGAGACAGGGCATGGATCCTTGAAAGGCCTCTGACGCCACCTCCGTCTCCTGCCTTCGCAATGCTGGCTCACGTCAGCCCCCAGCAGGCCCAGCCAAGGCCCAGGAGCAGAGCCCAGCAGTCTGGGGGTGGACAGTTTGGCCCGCATTGCAGGAAGGAGGCTGAAACTGGGACATTTGAAAAACGAGTTGTGCTGGGTGAAACTGGACTGGGTGGCCTTGTGCCCAGAGGCGGAGCACCTGCTGTCCCCATGTCCTGTTTGTGCCCAGAGCCACATAGAACAACACCCAGGCTGAGTCTAGGTCTGAGAGCGAGATTGCCCTCTGGTGGGGCGGTAGGATGGGGGCTGGGCAGAGCCACCTGCATGGTCACATAACTGCCTGACCTGGGGTTTGCAGCAGGGTAGGAGCAGCTAGAGCAGGAATGGAGTCTGGTGGGAGTGCACTGGTCCCTGGGGTAGCCCGGAGGAGGGTGTCCTAGCTCTGACCTGATGACAGCAGTGTATGACAGCCTCCTCTTCGGCATGGACAGTTATTTGGAGCAGAAGGAAAGGGAGATGTAAATATTTTTTAATATCCCTCCAAACACAATTATTTAAAATTCATTTAGTTTAACTTTTCTAGAAGGATGGGATGGGGGCAGAGTGTGCTGTGCAGACAGGAGAGGATGTTGTAAAATGGAGAAAGCAGGCCATGTTCATCTTTGCTAAGGTTTATGATGCCGTCTCTGGACTTCCCCGGGGCCTGTCGGGGGAGCGGAGAGGGCACAGCCTTTAGAGAACGGGGGAAATATGGTTCATGTACCCATCCACTTAGCAGCTCTGTGATTTGGGGGAGTCATTTACCTTCTCTTGCCCTAACTGTAACCTCCAATGGGAATCCCATCCGCTGTTGCAGGCAGCTGTGAAGCCCAGAGCTGAGGTCTGACCCCGCTTAACACATTGCAGGTGCCTAATAGGTGCAGCCCTCCCCATTACAGCTCCTTCAAAACAGCAGGTGCCCAGAAAGGATGTACGTTAGTGTTTTGCCTTCAGTTTTCAGATTCAGGGGTGGCCAGAGCCAGAACGATGGATTGAGTACTTACGAGGCAGGAAAGAAAGAGGGCCAGCTCTCCTGCCACTAGCCTGTGGAAGTCAGGAAGAGAGCCTGCTTTCCCCAGAAAGAAAAGATGTATTTTCACTGGAGCAGCAGCGGCAGGTCCTGAGTCCTGTGGGAAAGGGACCTCGGAGAAACGGGAGGTGCTCTTTAAACAAGCTCTGCAGGCTCACACATCTGTGTGACCTTTCTCTGGTTCTCAGCAAGGGAAGAAGACAGGAAGATTCTGGTGTACAGCCTTTTTGGGCCCCTGCAAGATGGAGGAGGCAGCCCTTGCAGGAGGAGGCAGCCCTTGCAGTGGAAGGCAACCCGAGAATGGGCAAAGTGCACACCAGAGACCTATCTGTGTAGGGACCAAATTAGTGAAATTGGAGAGATACAGAAACTTGTCAAATCACAGGGACATTTCCCTTCCTTATGAGAAACAAGAACAAAGGGGCAAAGCATTATATCCTTCAATACATCCCTTTTCCAAAGGGTCAGTGAGGAGAACACTGAGGAACTACAGAGGGCAGCCTTGAATCAGGCAGCTCTACAAGATCCAGACTTAGAATCAGGGGACCTGAGTTGGAATCTCCGTTCAGCCACTTGACTAAACTGGATGACCTTGGCTAGGTCCCCTCAGCAGCCTGTGCCTCAGAACCTTGGGCTTTGCAAGGGCCAGCCTGGCAGGGCGCTGCAGGGCTTGTTAGGCCAGTGAGACCATGTTGCTCTGGAATCACAAGGGAGGAAGCACAGAGATCTTCACCTGGGTTTTTTGGCAAAGTTACGTGGCAGCTGTGGGTATAGGAGTTGTGAAAAGCCATGTATGGTTGGGAGGAGAATGGGGAAAAGAGCTTTGAAATCCCTCATCCTAGAAGTATTTTGCTGAGTCAGCAAAGCCCAGTGCTGCAACCTGAGCAAATCTTGCAGAAGCAGCGGCCACAAGTTCCAAGCCACAGGCTGGTAACTTGAGGAAACAAGGAGGAAGCAGTTGGAGCCTGGAGAGGGCACATGAGGTCTGAGGCAGGGAGAAAGGTGACTTGGGTAGCATGGGGTGGGCAGGCTCTGCATTTGATGAAAGCAGCATTTTTCAGATCTCAGGTTGAGATCCATTCGTGGGTTGTGCAATAAAACTTTTTATTTTTAATTGAAAGAGATTATCAGGGAATAGAAAAGTGGCTAGAAAAAAAAAATACCCAAGTGGCTTCCCCACCGCAGGGGTGAGTTTTGTGATGATGGGTCGTTCGTGGTTTTATGCATATGTGTCCTGGACCATGGGTAAGGGTCAGAGGGTTTGCCCAACCCTTCACGGGGCTGTAGGGCCAACTTGTCCTTGGGCACAGTCACTCCTTTGCTGTGATAAAGGCGCAGGCCAGAGGCAAAAGGTAGCAGTAGTGTGCCCTTTCTGAATTCCAGGAGGGTCTTTGATGCCACTTCCTCATTTGTCAGTGAGGCCATGTAGTGATTGGGGACATGGACTCGACTCAGGTGGCACCTGTCAGATCTATCAGACTGAGACTTAAAAATTCTGAAAGATTAAACTAGTCATAGATATAAAAGTATGACTAATCATAATTGTGTGTTTATTCGAGCACTGCTGTGAGCGTCACTGTGTCTTATCTCATTCAGTCCTCCCAGCAACTGATGTCACTGAGGCAGACTCTGTGTCCAATTCACAGAAGAGGGACCTGAGGCACAGCAAAGTGAAGTGACTTGCCCAAGGCCACACAGTTAGTAACTAGTCAAACCAGGACTGAGCCCACAAAGTCTGGCTTTGGCCTGTGTTCTTAGCTCCTAGGCTACCCTGCCCTCTGTGTAGAAAGCTTATTCATAAATGTGGCTCTGACTCTGAACTTGGAATAACAGTGCTTCAGAAAAAAGGTGGCAAAGCCACATTCTCAAAGATTTTAGGATTCCCATTCTCGTATTAGATGAAGGGGAATTGTAACGTGTGTGTGTGTATACGTCTATGTATGTATGTATACTATGTATGATAACATGCATACATATCACTTACATATACATATATATAATTTACTTGTATATATTTTACATTTAAAATAAATATAAATGTTGGGTTTGTTTTAAAACAGCAGTTTTGGGCCTCCCCGGTGGCGCAGCGGTTGAGCGCTGGGTTGCGAAGCTGCGCGCGGCCTCTGCGGCGCCGGTTCGATCCCCGGCTGCTCCCCGGCCACCAGAGGAGGGTCCCACATGGCGCGCAGACCTCTCCTGCCGCCCGCTGCTCCCCTCAGCAGTGTGCTTCGGTCCTTCTGCCTGCTCTGCTCCCCGCTCTGGCTCTGGTGAATTCTCTCGCCCTCCCGCGCTTCTGACTGTACCCAGTGCATGTATAAACAAAACAAACAAACAAACCAACAAACAAATAAATAAAGCATGCCTCTATAAAAAAAAAAAAAAAAAAAAGTCTTTAGACTTTAGAAAAAAAAAAAAATAAATAAAAATAAAACAGCAGTTTTCCCTCTTGCTGGCTAGAGTCCTATGTATATTAATACTCCATGTTCTCATAGTCTATATTGTCATACTTAATAGAACTGTTAGTCCTTTTCCTTAATCATCACTGCACTGACTCCATGTGCACAAAGTGCTTTGTGGGAGGTGAAGTGAGTATCATGTTGGCCATGTAAGGAAATGGTACATTGAAGCCTAGTGAGTCTTGAGTTGAGACACAACTGCTGATGCCTGCTTACACTGCAGGCGCTGGGCTGCCAGGAACTGACCGAGGAAGGTACTGACCCCTGAGAGTCAGTGTGAACCACAAGCGGACAAGCTAAAGATATATGCTTTCACTTTCTAAAGCTGAAGGATGGTGAGCTGTATTTGTCAGGAGTATGGCATTCGTGACCTGGACAGTAACTTCTTACTGTTTACCGGTAATTGCTGAGCTGAACCTCATTCTTGACATCCTCTCTCCTCGGGTGCAAGAGGCTTATGCTGAGCAGAAGGACATGGCTGTGGAGAGAGTATCTGCACGGAGTGCAGTGGGCTTCTGCATTCTTTTTATAACTTATACCTGATCCTCTATGAGAACGCCTGTTCCCGTTTGGGTGGGATGTAATGAGTCCCAAGGCAGCGTGTGAAATGAGCCACATCAGCAGTGGGGGTTCTGGGAAGGATGAAAGGTGCCATTGGCTCACTTACCCTTCCCTTGGTGTCTCTGCCCTCACCGCCTTGGCTATGACGCTTTCTTGAGCAACTCCAGTCACATAGTTGCCTCTCCTGGAGCCCCAGGCCAGCACCGCACCATGGAGCCTGAACAAAGAGCCACACTGCATCCTGTGGGGTCTTGCCCTCCTCTGTGTGGGCTCACAGGGATTCCATGCATGTCACAAGGCTTTCTGTCCCTTGTCATTGGGCATCACCACAGAGCCCTGTGCAGAGCCTGGTTCTACAGAAGACTCAGTGGAGGTTTGTGGGGACGAGTAGATGGAGTGGGGTCATCCAACTCCCCATTTTGCAGAGGACTTTATGGAACCAGAAAGGTGCTAAGCCAGGATCAGAGACTTGTGGGCTGTTCTGTCAACCTGACTCTGAACTCTGGCCCCCACAGTTCTCCTGAGTCCTGGGTCAGGTGCTGTGGGCCCACGTAGCCAACCAAGGCTGGACAGCCAATAGTTGCAGGATTTCCAGAGCTATGGCCTCCCCCAAACCTCAAGTCCTTGGGCCTGATGATGTCAGGCCTGGCTCTCTACACTCCCTCATCCTTTCAGTGACTACCTGACCAGCCTCCCCAGCTTAACTACGAGGCGGCTGGAGGGCTGTCCTGGTCAGCATCTACCAGGCTGGTCTAAGTCAGGGAAGGCAGTCAAGCCACAGAGGGATCCAGTCCCCTCCAGCCACTTTCTGGGATGGCAGCTGGCCGCTCTGCTCTCATTGGGTTCTATTATTTCTACTCTGCTCTTCGGCCTTTTTCTTGTATGGTGCTTACTACAGCTGTGCCCAAATGTCAGACTCAGCTCAAGTTGCCACTCCCTCTGATCTTACCTTCACTGTCTGGGGAGTGGAGTCCACTGGCTCCTCCAGCTGTGGCCAGGCCATGAGATGTTCAGAGCTACCCAATCCTGCCAGGTGAGGCGGGCCAAGGCAGGCACTGGAACGGGGCAGGGGCAGTACTGGCTTGGGTGCCAGAGCCTACTTGGACTTGAATCTAGCTCCCCAGTTGACTGACTGTGGGCTTCCACTGTTGGGGAGATGCCGCTTACGAGGGTGCCTTGACATCCTGTGGCTGTGGGACTCCGGGCTCTTGTTCGGACCCCTGACTGTGAGGTGGCACCCATCTTCGTTCTCAGTGACATTACCAAGCCAGGCTTATAGGCAGAGGATGTTCCTGGACTGGGCACGAGGGAGGGTTCTTTGAGTCCAGCGGGCCGTAAATGGGCACAGCTGAGGCCCCCAGCTGTCCCCTGACTCCCCAACTGGCCTGATGCTGGCATGTGTGCCCCAGAGGACATGTGAGTCCTGCCTTGCATGTGCCTCCTTCATGTCACATGCTGTGTGTGTTGATGTGTGTGCACGTGACCCGCACTGATTGGTCCCTTGCCAGCTGGAACAGTTCCTCCTACTCCCAGGACAAAAACAGCCCCAGGCCTTTTTCCCCTGAAAAGTTTGGGCTCTCTCTGTCAGGGTGTGAGCTCAGAGACGAACCAGAATGGCAGGCTGCCCTCTCTGCAGAGTTGGCAGTGTCCCCAAGGCCAGTCCCTGATCCCTGCCTGCCCCCTGCCCAGGCTTCGCTCTCTCTGCTGAGCAGGGCAGGATAACACAGGTGCCTCCAGAGGCCGGATGAGGAAAGGAGCTGGCACAGGTGGGCTGGTCCTCGGTCCACAGAGCTGCGGTCTCTGGGGCAAGGGCAGCTGCCCCCGTGACCTTGAACATGAGACTCCTCAGTGTGGGAAGAGGTCTAGGGAGTCACTGGTAGAGGCAACTGTTTCAATTCTTCTGCTCAGTAGCTATATGGACTCAGATGGCCACTTGACACCTCTGTTCATGCTACTCACATGTGAGGAATTGCTCTTCTGTGTGTCCTGCTGGTAACTGCAAGCATCCTTCATGCCAATACTAGGAAACCCTCCCTCCCGCGCAGTGACCTTTGTCTCCCTTCTCTGCAGCTGGAAGAAGCCGAGCACTTTGCCACGATGGTGATCGATCTCGGGGAGGAAGCTGGGGAATTCCTATCCAAGGGCTACTTGGCGCTGGGTCTCACTTACAGCCTTCAGGCAACTGACGGTGGGTGCTGAGGCCTAGGGCCTTCTGCTTGGGGTGACATGGGCATCCTAACTGCTTCCCAGGTATCTTGTCCCATCAGTGTCCTCCAAACACACCCCATTAACTCCTCCCGGATAGATGCACACACAAACACACACTCAGTCCTCTTTCCACTCTTGTGCTCCGTCTTCATGTCTCAGAGGTGCCCCCTTCACCGACCCAGCTCTTCCCACTCTCCAGGGCCCAGCCTAGCCCCAAAGCATGCCTGTCTCTGCCCCTAGAGCTCCGGTGGTGCCTGCATCTGTAACATGCCCCCAGCCCTGACCCCAGTGTAGTGTCTTCTTTCTGGTTCACCTGTCCTCTCAGCACTGCTACGATCTTCTTTTAAAGCCCCCTCAATACATGGGATAGTGCTGGGCACACCATAGATGCCTAATAAATACTTGCATTTGCCAGGTGGATTTCACCCTTGCTTGGCCGGTCTCACCTTTCTCTCCCCCACCCTGCCAGCCATGTGTCCCCCATCCTTCAGGCAGCCACCTACTTCTGGGTCTTCACAGTGAGAAAAGGAGGGAATGGGCCCCACCCAGACCAAACCCAGAAGAGCAATCTGACCTGGCCAGGGCTGGAGCCAGGCGACAGTCATTTATTTTAAATCTTCCTTTGTGAAGCTTTAAGTCATGAAGATGAATCATTTTGAAGTGGTTCAGCCTGCAGCCAGTGCTTCAAACACCTGGCCTAGAGCATTTAAAGCAGGATTCACTTTACCAGAAAGGTGCCTGGTTTGGATTAAAGCAAGAAACCTGTGGGGAGAGCATAACAGAGGTTCCTGGGGGAGGGGAGTCTGTGCTGAATGGTCCTGACGCCATTAGGGAGGATGAAAAGTTCTGCGAGATGGTGGCTGCACCACGCCAAGAATGTGTTTCGTGCCACCAAATCATGCCCTTAAAATTTGTTTAAATGGTTAAAAAAGAAGCTGCAGCCTTGTGGCCAGGTCCTAAGTGGCGCCCCTTCTTGTGAGGTTTAGGCCTTTGCAAAGGTGGAGTTGACTCAGGTGGCAAATAATGCAAAGGAGTAGAAGGATGTACTGTGCCCAAAAATGGCCAACAGGGACACCCCCAACCCTGCCCGGGGCACCCCAGCCCGCCCCCTAGCCAGAGTCGTGGGTGGAATCAGCTCGGTGCTAATGCATTTGAGTTTCAGCTAGGGTTCTGGTGGGGCCTCTTCCTGCGCTGGGATGGGACAGGGCTGCAGCAGCACCCCTTCAGCAGCACCCCTTCGGCCATCCCTCATGACTCTGCCCCATCCTGTCTCTGCAGCGACACTGAAATCCAAGCAGGATGAATTGCACCGGAAAGCACTGCAGACGCTGGAGAGGTGAGCACGCCCGATTCTACACAGCAAAGGCACGAGGGAGCATGTTCATGGGCTTTTATCTCAGTGGACCCTCTGGCACAGGAGCAGAGGTTTCCATCCCCATTACATTGACCAGGAAACCCAGGCCCTCGGCGCTCATGCTGGAAGCAGGGCCAGACCTTTGGTTTCTGGACCTCTGCCTTTCAACTGTGTGGAACGCCCATGCGGGCTAACAGCACCCCCTGCTCAGCCCCCCTCCTCTAAGGGCTCAGGGCTCTAAACTGGGAATAACAGCCTATTATTTTTTTGATAATCACACTGCATAAAGCAGGAAAGGCACCTGCACAGGACCCCACATGTGGCAAGGGCTCAAAAATTGCATTGGTCTCCTAGCCTCACCCCACCCCAATCCTTACATAGAGTCCCTGGCTGCCCAGGCAAAGGAAGGGGAGTAGGGCAGGGAAACTCCTCCTTCAGGTCCATTCCTACAAGACCCCTATCTTCACCACAGATCCAGAGCAGCCTGTGTCCCTCCCCCTCTCCTTCTTAGGGCCCATGGCAAGGCCCTAAGAAGTCCTGGGTGAACCCTGCTGTGGAAGTACTGCCTGCAGGGGGACTGCCCTGCACTGCTTAGGTAGCTTCCTTGAAACTTAGAGCAATCCAGAGCACATCCAACCCCTCTCTGAGCTTCCAGGGTAATAAGGACATTTCCCTCCTTTCTCTTAGTTCTTTATTCCCAAGCCTTCTGGCCCAGAGAGGTCATTCTCACCCCTCCATCCTCGGAGAGATATTCCCTTCTGTCCTTCCGTGAAGAGGGCAGGCTCCACGTTTTGTATAAGGCCAGGCCAGCAGCTGCCCAGACCCCACCCAACTTTCCCTCCCCAACAGCCCCCATCTCAGCAGGAGTCAGCCCCTGCAGAGCCACTGCCCTGCCACGAGCTGCCCATGGACCTTCCGCCTGATCCATTATCTCCCAGCTGGGCACCGTCCCAGGCGTGGCCTGGCAGGACTCCTGAGGTTTCATCACACACTGGCTACTCAAGCCTTGGTGTCTAACTTGCTCCTCTCTTTCCCCATCCAGAGCACAACAGCTGGCACCCGGCGACCCCCAGATCATCCTCTATGTCTCCCTGCAGCTGGCCCTTGTCCGCCAGGTGGGTGACCACAGTTCCTAACCTCCAGATCCCTGAGCTTCTCCTGGCACTGATGCTTTTATTAGCTGTGTGACCCTTTGCTAGTCACTTGACCTCTCTGTGCCTGTTCCCTTTTCTGTTCTGTGAGTGCCCATTGTACTCCACTTCAGAGGGCCCTTGTAAGGAGGAGTCAAACAATGTGGTAAAGCCCCTGGCCCATGGTGGGCACACAGGGAAGGATTCGTCTCACCTTCACTTCCCCAAGAACATTTCCACCTCCTGAAAAGTTGATGAGTAACCTTGATAAGCATTTGTCTGTATCCTCACCTTCCACTGAGCTTTCCCTTAGGTCTGGGGGGTGCAGAGTGACTGGCAGGTGGAGCTGTTTCTTTCTGATCCCTAAGCTTTTCCCTGACCTATGGACACCATAGTCAGGATCGGCCCCTGGGGCCTAGTGGGGCTTCTGTCCACTGACTGCCTTCACCCCATTGGGACCACTACTACCACCCAACACCCCTCCAGGGCCACCCTCCTTCCTTCCCCAAGTAGAGCACCTGAGCTCTCAGTTCCGAGGACACTCGTGTCCAGGGAGTGAGGCCAGGCAGCCGCCCATCCAGGGCTTCCATTCCCCAGACCTTTTAGATCTCCAAAAGAGGATCAGGCCAGCAAGGTTTATCTTTGGTGATCCCTGAAGCCTTCCCCAACCCTCTACCCTCCACTTTTCTTTGAGGTTCTCTCCCAAACTACTCTATCCGCACATGGTCACAGCCTTCACACCTGCTATGGGTTAGATGACTGAAGGGCAAGGAGGAGATTGGCATTTCAACAGGAACTTGAGCTTAGTTTCTGCTCTGTGTGTGTGTGAGAGAGAGAGAGAGAAGACTTGGGCATCCTGGAGAATTGGTACGGATTGGAGGCACCTGGAATCTGTGGGTGAGGAGGAGGTAGTTCTCAACAGGGCTGTGCCTAGACCGTGGACCCACAACCTAAGAAGAGACTGGTCTTGACCTAGGATGGGCTTTGACCTCCCATGCACCAGCACAGGCTTAGCAGGGAGCCCCTGCTCTGCTGCTTACAGCTCTGCCACGCTGGTCCTTGAAGCATGGGGGAAAGACAGAAGCACTGGAAAATAAATAAGCATTTTCATTTGCAAATACATGCATTCTTTTAGCCCTTCAGAGGTAAAGCATATGCCTAATTTGCATATCTGGAAAATTAATTCTGAGATGGGAGCAGCTGGGACTAAGGCTAGCAAGCGGCAGAGCTGACTCTAGAACCCAGATGTTGTCAATTCACAATTACAACACTCCACTTACCACAGCCTAGTTGCCCAAGCAAGCCTGACCCACCTGTGCAGACGCCGGCCAGCCGGAAGGTGGGCCACAGCCATACCAGGCAGGGCGACAACTGAGCACAGCGTGGAGGCCTAGCGCTCTGGTACTTTTGGTAGAGGGAGAGAGTCGTGTCTGGGTGGGCTGCTTAGAGCTCTCATGGGGCCTGTCACTGATCTGTCTGTCTTTGAAGCAGAGTGTTTACACAGGTGGCTGCAGACATGCTTTTTTCTCCTGCCAGGGGTATGTCCCTTGGCGAGCCACAGGCCAGGACACCCGCGACAGGGGGTGTGTGCCTGAGAGCGTGACCTCCCCACTGAGCAGTGCCATGGGTGGAAATGCTGAGGTGGGGTCGGAGGAGGGGAAAGTGGAGTGCAGGCGTCTTTTGCATCCAGGGGGATCCATGTGGGGGGGGGGGGGGCGGGTGTTGTGCCGATCATGGTTTCTCCCAGAATGGAAGATCCTTGAAGCATCCCCATTCTCTCCTTGGGCCCACCCAAGAGCAGGAGCCCCCCTAGCACGGTGGGCCGGTGTGTGGTCTTAGACCTGAAACAGTCTCCGTGAAGGCTGTGCTAGGGACCCTGTTACTGCCTGAAGATGGGGCCTGAGGCCTCAGCGGCAAATCACTGAGGATCTCAGACTAGATGGGGTGGGGGTAAGGGAGCGGTAAGGTGTGAAAGGCAGTGAAGGTGCTCCTCCCAGCTGTTTCTGCCCCTCCTGGGCTCACCCACCAGGCCCTCAGGGCAGCCTCTGCCTGCCCACTTTCACATTGTGCCTCACCCTGAGAATGGAGGCAGCAAGCCCAAGCCAGTGAACCCTGGGATTCATGGTGATCTCTGACCTCCTGACTGCCTCTAGCTCTGCCTCCATCACAAGGAGAGGCTTCCTCAGACCACCTGCAGGGGGGCTAGCATCTGAGTAGACTCCACCTGTTCAAGGCTTAGTCCTCTCTGTGGGCACAGTCTCTGTGTGCCCTTCTGCCTTTGGAAAAGCTGCAAGCCCCTTTATCTCCCCTTCCGTGGAGGGCAATCACTCCCTTCCCTATGGGTGGCACCAGTGGCCCAAGTGTCCCAGCTCCAGGAAAGCCTGTACACTTGTGGCCTGAGTGTCCTTTCCTTTCCACCCTCCCTCTCAACTACCCAAGTCCGTCCTGGTGCACCATAAACCTGCTCCTCTTCACTCCCTGTGGCAACAGCAGTGGCTCCTGGGCGTGATGTGGAGCAGCAGATCCCTCTGCCTTATTATTTGGGGCTGTGGTTTCTCATCAGAGCCTCAGCTCAGCCCCCCAGTGCCCAGGGTCTCACTTGAATCTGGTGTGTCTGCGGTGGCTGGCACCTGGCACCAGAGTCCCAGGGGCAAGGTCACTAAGCTGGCAGTTTTCTCTGGCAGATCTCCAGCGCCATTGAGCAGCTGCAGGAGGCCCTGAAAGTGTGCAGGGATGATGCCAACGCCCTCCACCTGCTGGCGCTCCTGTTCTCCGCCCAGAAACACTACCAGCCCGCCCTGGAAGTCATCAACATGGCCATCACCGAGTATCCTGAGAACTTCAAGTGAGTTCCCTGCAGCCCTGCTGAACTGGAGGTCTGCTGGCCACAGACGTGGTGCTCGCTCCTCCCTGCCACATAGCCAGCCACACAGCAATTATGCGCCCACTGCACGCACATTCCCTGACTGGAGAGATGAGACAGGATGAGGACCCCTAGGGTTGGTGACTGGCTCTGGTGTTCTGTGCAGGTGGCCTTGGTAAGCTCTTCACAACCCTGCAGACTCCACAGGGGGCTGCATGGACCACTGAGAAGGTTATGCTCAAGTGCATGTGCTCAGGCTGCTTCCATCACTCTACATTTGAGCTTCACAGCTGGTCAACAGTGACAAATCATAACTGTGGCACAGACAGCCAAGGGTGGGACTCTGACACTGACTGCGCTGGCAGAGGTCAAGTGCACCATCCTTCTGTCCTGAGCTCCTCCATAGCCTCCCATTGACCATGTCACCCAGAGACCTAGCTCTTGGTGTGGGGACTGTGCTCCACTTAACCCAGGTGGGTAAAGGCAGGACTAGACCCCCCTCCACCTGTATACAGAGGACCTGCTGCCACCCAGCTAGGACACTGGAGACAAGAGCCAGGCTAGGCCGGCTGAGACAGTGTGCTGCTCTGTGGGAGGGAGCACAGGGGTGTAGTACACCTTGCATTCTGCAATCTAGGATGAGGGGCCCCTGATCACCCCACCCTGTTCCGCCTAAGGGTCTGAAGAAGACCATTTAGAACCAACAAAGGCTGTCCTGCTAAGACAGCCAAACAAGGCAAGGTCCTGGTTACCCTGAGAGGTGACTCACACTGACAATGTCAACAGGTTTCCAAGGAATTAGGGGAAATTGGTGGGTGCCACAGCGTGATAGGAGATAAAGGGAACTGCAATTGCTCTTGCCCGGGACAGTTCCCTTCACCTGGGGAGCCTGTGTCTTCACCTCCCCCCATTAGGGACAGCACTGACCCCAGGGGAGACTCAGACCTTCCTGTGCCTTTGGCCTCCTTCAGAAGATACGAGGGTAGCTTTGTTATGGGCTTTGCTGTGTATGCTCCCTTCTCACTAAGGCTCAACATAGACGTCTTGGAAATAGCAGAATGTCCTAATCAAAAGCTCCCCCATATGCCCCACTGGGGGTGGTGTTTATCCTGCAGGTCAGTCGCGCTTACTCTAATCTAGACTGACCCTCTGGCCACAGCACCTGACTTCTGACCCCTACCGCCTTCTGATCTACCTACCTCCCTCCTGGCCCCGTGGGTCCCAGCCGCCCACAGCCAGGTGTAAGCCGAGCTGGTGTGTTCAGGAGTCCTGACTCAGCCTGAACCCTCCATTTGAGAGATGATTAAAGCTGAAATCACTTCAAGAGGCAGGTAGCTTAGGGGATACTAAAGCAGATAAAGCAGAGTGAGAGACAAGGGATCAGTTGCCTTGTCGAATTCATCCTGCGTATGTATTGCTAGTAGTTTGTTCTAATGAAAATGCACAAACGACAGTTTCTCCCCTTCCAGTACCGGTTAACTTTGTTTTTTCCAAACTCCATCTTCGAGCCTGGATGGGGCAGGGGGCTGAGCATCAGAACTGTTGTCGGCTGCTGGCACAGGGGTGTGTGTTTGCTCTATTTAGTCAGGCCTCGGTGGAAACAGAAACTGTCAGCAAGGGACTTAGAATCCTAGAGTGGAGCGGGGGCCCTTTGCCCAGACCCTGGGGCTGTGTATCACATCAGAGAGTGTTTTATCAGCCAGTCCCTTTTGCAAGTGAAATCTTACATGAGAATTGAGAATATGAACTCACAGGAGCAGAGCTGGGCTGGTAGAAGGGCGGGGGCTTGCGCGCTGGCCCCTCAGCTCTCCTCCAATGCTGGGGGTCTGGCATCTGCCTATAGGGTCTCTTCCTGACCAGCTGAATGCTTTCTGCTGGCAGCATCACCCTCCCGGGCCGGAGGTGGGGAGGCTTCAAGCCACTTTGTGAAAATGTGCTTAAAGCCCACATTGTGCGGTAGGAAAGGGGGTTTCTGCTATGAAGGGTGGGGGGCCCTCTGGGTCTTCCTGGCTCCCTTGACCCATCCCAGGGTGGCGCCTCCTGCCTCCTGTCTTCTCCTGCCATCCATTCTCCTTGCTCTGAGGCTGGGTGAGGAAGCCAGATCCCTCCAAGTGCACTGTCCCCTCTTCTCCCACCTTACTCCAATGCTGACTCCTTCACCAGGGAGCGCCCACTTACTGGACATATCCTCATGGGGTTGGGGTCCTTGTCTTGAGGTTGATGACTCCCGGGGGGGGTGGGGGGTGGTTTCGGGACAGTGGAGGCTGTCAGTGGACTTCTGCACTTCTAGGAACGCCTGGACCTAAACTGTACCAGAAGTTCTGACTTGACCTGAGCACCCCTGAAACACTGCAGAACTAACTAGAAAAAAATGTAGGGAACTTCTGGGCTACAGGTCTGTGAGAGAATCCATCTCTGTTGTGTAAAGTAAAGCATCTCTACCTGTGTGCCTATCTCCAGGGAGATAGCTTTCAGCAGATCCTCAGTGGGGTCCAAAACCCAAAAAAGGTGATATGCCAGGTGCAACTTCCACCATGGAAACAGGACCCCCCACTCCCTCAGGGCTGGGGCCAGCAGCATGGAGACGTGTCTGAGGTCAGAGCCCAAGAAAGGAGAGTGTCCGAGTCCTGTCCCCTGCAGCCTCCATGTGCTTCTTCTGTTTCTGTCACCTCAGAGAGACATGCTGTGGACATTTGGGGAGCAGCATACCCCCCACTCCATGGTGCCTCACTTTGTGTTGTCGGCCATTGTGTTGTCGGCAGCAGGGCTGAAGAAATAGTGGCAAATTCTTTCTCCGAGTCACTGTGAGCCCCTCACCTCCAAGGTCATGAGGAGCTTGGTCTTTATCTGAGCCGGTTCTACAAGGCTAGAAAAAATATAGGGAGCTTTTGGTCTCCAAAACTAAAAGAATTCATTTCTGATGTTATATGAAAAAAAACCACTTTACGGATCTTGATTTCATATATATATGAAAAATAATTGGGAGTGGAGGTGGAAAATCCACCTATCACACAGGTCTGTGGAGTGGCTGTAGAGAAGGAGGCACAGCTCTTTACGAATAAGTCATACTGTCCCCCACAGATGAAACCCCAGAGGACAGAAACCACGGATTAGCAGGAAATGTCATTGAGTCCATTACCGGTCAGGGATCACTGAAAAATGTCATTGCTCTTCAGTTGAAACTGCATCCTGCTCTCCAGCTGCTCCCTGCACTGGGAACAAGCTGTGTGGCTCCAGCTGTTACCACAGAGTAAATTAAATGAGTGGTCCAGTAAATACACTGCAGCAAAAGAGAAAAATCAGACCCCCTTTGCCCCAACCTCAGCTCCCCAATAAGGTCTGTATTCAGGGGCACTTAGAAACCAGTGGTCCCAGTACCTCGCAGCACCTCGCAGATGGTTCTGCCTGGTGGCTGAGGTCTTTTAGAGGCTCCTCTCTTCTGCAGAGCCTGCCTGTGTGTCCAGTGGCCAGTAGCAGGGGTGGAGGAGGCCTGGCACCGGGAGGAAGCTGGGAGGTAGAATGGACCTCTTTCATTGTGAGTTTATCTGCAAGTGAGGACCACAGTGAGGTCCCCACTCTCACAAGGTTCTGCCTGTCATTAGCTGCACCTCCTCCAGCAGCTCGTACCTGCTTTGTGCCTAAAAGACTGGCATCTGTCCTGCCCCCTTCAGCTTGCAAGGTCTGTTCTGAGAGTCACAAGAGACACTCTGGAAGCCAGTTTACCACCCTGTAAAGGCAGCTGCAAGCAGGGTCTGAAAGACCAGAACATGGGACCCAAGGGACTCATGGGACCCAGGTGGGCCAGGAGATAAAGGAGGACCCCCGTGTAGGGGTGCATTGAGCTGAGGGCAGGTTAGCTTCTTCCCAAGAGTTCCGCGTTGCCGGCTTCAAGACTCCTAGAGAAAAACCCAGCTTTTGTGGAGTTGAGCCATTGAAAATCCTTCTGCATTCAGGGATAAAAATGTAAAATGAAGAGGATCTTGATTTCCATGCTCTGGGACAGGCTTCCATTATGGAGCTTGGTCTTAAAAGGCAGAAACGTGATGAGGAGGAGACTGATAGCCCCTTGGGGACAGTGCGAACCTGGCACAGTGGGAACCAGACACCCCAGTGGCTTCCTGCAATCCTAAGGGCTTCCAACTAAGCCCAGGACACATGTGCTGGCCGGCCTGTCCCCTCTGGGGGGCCTCGCTCCCTATTTGGACCTAGGTTCCAAGCCAGGACAGACCTCAGAATGTGAGAGGTCTTATGCCAGCTTGGAGATGCCTTTGCTAGTCCTTTCTTCTCCTCCTGGGTATAGGAGGCAGCTGTGAGGCCCGGTCAGGGAGGAACAAGAATATGGGGTCAAGGGGAATGGTGCTAATAAACGTGGTTCCTAAAGCCACAGGCTGCAGGCTCCCTGGGGTTCTGGTTTTAGGTAACAGATTCCTTGTGCTTTAGTCAGGCTGCTTGTAGTGAAGGTCACCATGGTAACCAAACAACATTCCTGGGCTAATGATGGGAGCTTTCCAATAACCAGCCTGTCAGTCACTGCCCCCACCCCAGGCCTGGAAGCCTGCCAGACCAGTTTGGAAAGCCAGGGCCATTGGGCGGGCACTAGCAGCCAACCAGGCTGCCCTTCCCCTCTCCATGGTGCAAGGCGCCTCCTCCCACCCGTTGTTGGGTAGTCCCTCTTGAGAGTTTCTGCCCGGCCCAACCCAGGTCCTATGGAGCTTGGAAGGCCCTACGGGAAGGTGTGTTGGAGTCCTAGGGGGCACTCCCTAGCTCAGGAACAATATGGCTGGAGCTTGCTGTGTGTAAACAAAGGGAACCAGCAGAGCCATCTCCCCCAGGAAACCCCGGTTGTTTTGGAAAATGTTTGCCCTGATAACTACACTTAGCTGGGTCAGACCTTGACTGAATTCAGTTCAGGGTAAGGTTGGCCCTCAAGGGCAACTCTCCCATCTACGTGGTCCACCTCACCTTTTTCTCAGGTTGCCTGT